CATATATCCAGATTCAACATTCAAGCATTTTCACTGTATAATTCATTAACAGAACTTATGTTCAATATTTTTAAAATTAGATCATGTGTTGAGTTTTGTCACAAAATCAGTGAACTATATCAGAGGTCATGCTCTGCATCACCATCACTTTAGCCAGTTATTGGAAGAAGACATGAATAATCAGTTCACAAATGTCCCATTGTACACAGAAGTTTGGTGGCTTTCATGTTACAAGGTACTGAAATGATTTTTTTATTGCGACATGAAATGGTTGTTTTGGAAGATGAAGAGTCAAAGCACAGATGAATTGAAAGATGAAAGCCCGCTCCAAGATCTTGCTTTTTCAGTGTATATTACTGGCCAATAAAGTGACCTTAATTTGAAATTACAAGGTAAAAATAAGCTCGTAACTCAGTTATATGATAATATCAAGTGTTTCATTGCAAAATTAGCTTTATTGAAATCCCAGTTGTCACATGAAAACTTGATTCATTTTCCTATGTTCAAGGAGTTGAAAAAAACTGCCAATACTGAGTCTGTATTTATCTTTGCTAAGTACGACAATTACCTGGAATTGCTATCAAAGGAATTTCAGTGAAGATTTTGTGATTTTTCATCTTGTGAAGATCAGTTTGCATTATTCTCAGCACCATTCACTTTTGATGTTGCACAGGCAGAGGAAAGTCTACAGATGGAACTACTGGAAATGCATACTGACTTAACACTCAAGGGAAAGTACCTAGAAGTAGGGGTACCCAGATTTTTTTTCATATCTTCCTCAGACATTTAAGAACTTTAGAAAGTTTACCACAAAGATTATGGCAATGTTTGGTTCCACATATGTCTTTGAACAGTGATTTTCATTTTAATGTTGCCATCACTAGCGATCACTCGAAACACCTTTGTAATCACCATTAGACTCATCCAACTCTTTCCAAATTATCTGCACAGATTGACACCCAAACACTCTGAGATGTTCATACTGGAGATTCAGTTTATTATTTATTTTTTGTTTTGGTCAAAAGGGAATGGCCACCTCATAGACTTTACTGCTGGTCAAAAAAACACAAAGCACTTAAGACAGATAAAATTATTTACCATCCACTTCTATGTGTGTGTCACTTTCACAACTGAAGTGTTACAAGAGAAAAGACATTGTCTGAAATCACTTTTTCATATCATTTCATGTCATAATTTATCTTCTGTTATATTTTAGTAAACATTTTTATTTGTAATTTTAAAGGACAATATATTCTTTTTAAAAAGTTTGAACCTTTTAATAAATAAAAAGGTTTTTATGGCTTTACTATCTCCATCCATGGATGAATATTTCTGTTATAATCATGGAGATATTTGAGAATATTTTCAAACTTACCTATTCTAGAAAGTCCAGTTATGTATACATAGAAATAGTTACTAATAAATGTGCTAAATTAGAAAATGGTTGAAAAATTTCAGCATAGAAATGCTGTAAGTATTGAAACAAATGTTTATTCTTTAATAGGTCTATGCAGAAGTTCCATCATGTTAAAAGCTGACAATACTTACAAGTTTGAAACAAAAAAAAACAAAGAGAATTAATGGTTTTATGAAAAAGTGCTTTGCAGGAAGAAAAGTAAAGTACAAAAGAAATTCTTCAGTGCAAAGGGAAGATGGCAGAACTGACTTCTCACCAAAGTGATCAGCTGTCAAAACAAGTAATTAGAGATTCTGAATTTCCCAAAATTGGTGAAACCAAAAGAATTTATACTTTAGAAATGCTTTTACTTATGTATTCTTTGAACATTTTATTTATTTTTTTTCTCGCTTTTTCTTTAAATGTTTTTACATGTTAATTTTGACCTAGTTTATTGTTTCTGTTTTTTTTTTTTGACGACATTTTCATTTTTTTCGTTACTCTTTTTTTTTTCTTCTTTTTTTTTTGTTGCATTTTTTGAAATTGTTTCCTTCCTTCATTTTTGTTGTTTCTAATCTTTTTCTTCAAAATCCTTTTCTCCTCTTTTTTTGCCACCATTTCAACATGTTTCCTATTCTTGAACAACATCAATTTACTGCTTGGATTCTCCCCCCCCCCAACAGCTCGTTGCATTGTTTTCAGAAACTTAAGATTAGTCTCTCAGCAAATGTTGATAAATGACAGTTTTCAGTATTTTTTTTTTTTAAGTCGACCAAGATGTTGATAAGCAAAAATTTCATTAGAAACAAACAATGTCAAATCTGTCCTCCTATATAACAATAAATGCTGGACAATTTCCTCACCAATAAATGGGAAACTTAAGGCAACTTACATGTGGTTCTACAGCAGGATACTGAGAATACTATGAATGAAACATGAACAACAAGGAAGCTTTATGGAAAATGAGAACAAAAAAAAGCCATACTTAATAGAAAATCAGCCTAAATCTCTGATATGTAATAAGGAAGATCGGCTTGAAAATCTAACGCTGAGAACACATTGATGACAAGAGTTGCAAGAGAAACAGTGAGTAACTTACCTAATGGAAGAGAAACACCACTTAGAGCTACAAATGATAGGAAGTTATGAAGAGCCATTACCTATATCCTGAAGGGACATGGCATGTAGAAGATCTCTTGTGATACTCTGATGAAAGCTGTAGACATCATGGAAGTCTTGATTAAATTCCAATTACTTCTTCATATATGGAACCTGAGCTACCATTCCAAAATTTAAAAGGTCACTTATCCCATGGGTTTTAAATAAATATTGTATACAATATTTAGCCAATTAATATTAACAAAACTCTATTTTCTTCTTTTTGAATCAATTACAGAAACTCTGTTCTGTATTACAGATGAATTAACAGAACACTATTTTCCTGTAAGGATTGTTTTTGGTGCTCAACAGAACTGGAAAATATTACTGAATTTAAACATTTATTTTTCAATAGGAAGGTCCATCTATCATCCAGTTTGCACTCCTCACCAGTATGTTGGACAGGAGTAGGAGTTTATCCCTTGTTTCCTGTTTAGCATTGGTTTCCAGTTCCTTCTAAACTCTTTTCATTCTATTTCAGTCCCAGCAGCCCCTTGCACCTAAGTGGCATTATCACCTTGCATGGGGCAAATTGATTAAAAAAAAAAATTCTACTTAATTGTGATACAGTAGAAATAAAACAATTTGGCCCAATTGATAGTTGCATCATTTTTGTGAATAAATTTGTATACAACATAAGTAAATACATTTTTAGTTTTTACTATAAATTATACATTGTGGGAAACATAAAATGATCATGTTGCCACATCTGTGCAAGTGAATATAAAACCTTAGCAGGATTAAAATGTTACATCCATGCTACCCATATTTGAGGATCAATAAAGTGAAAAATTGAAGGGAGCATGGATGTGACTTTTTAGTCCTGCTAGGGTTTTACATACCCTCACACAGATGTGGCAACATTGGGCGTCTATTACAATAGTTATTACATAAACTCCACATTACATGTAATGAATGACTTTTCTGTGTGTGTGCATTCTTTGGTGATTTTTGAAACTACAGATTTGACCACATTTGTTACACATTAAATCCAATTTTGCAGGAGCATTTCCAGGGAAATAACATCAAGACTCTTATAAACATCTCTCTTGAGGTTTACCTATACAACATGATTCTGTTCAAAGCCTCTCTTACCACTGTGTACTGCTTTCCTCCAGGATGAATATCCCAGAGCTAACTTTTTCAGTCATTTGTATGATGTTCATCTTCTTCAGTGTATTCTTGATATGATCTTTATGCTTCAATTTTCGGTGGTGCACTGGTCTTTTTCCTTCAGCCAATTCATCATATAGATACTGCTTAAGGATCTTATTATTCTTCATCCTGACCGCATGACAATCCATCACAACTGGTGCAGAAGTACTAGATTCTCTATATTAACAGACTGACCGAATTTGAGGATGTCAATATTGTTGATATACAATTACCACTGGATATCCAATATAAGATGGAGACAGTGTTGGTGAAATTGCTCAAAGTTTATCATGTGTTTCTGGTGAGGGATCCTAATCTCACATGCATACAACAATGAAGACAACACAAGTATTGTAAACTTGCAACTTGGTCCCAATTGAAATTCAATGCTGCAACCATTGATGTCCATCCTTGATACCAGGAGGCACAGTGGAGTAATGGATAGCGGCTTGGATCGAGAAATTGGAGAGCCAAGTTCAAATTCCAGCCAGATCCATTACATTCACTTATGTGCTAATACCCTTGGGAAAGGTATAAATATTTGTCTTCTCCCCCTAGCTATGGGTAAATAGCAGGACAGACCAGGTTCTATAGCCTTGGATGGCAATTGGTCTTCTGCAGAAAGAAATGACAACCTACTGCAGAAAAAATCTGCCTCGTCAGTCATGTATCAAAAGATACATGATCACCTAAGCATGTATCACACATGGCACATACTCACTGACTGATTAGTCATATTTACAGTACCATCCAAATACACAAACTTTTCCAGAATTTATGGCCATACAAACTCAGACAACATTTTATCCATAAAAGAATTATGAAATTTACATCTGTCTCAGCACTTTCATCTGGGATCAACAAACCTATACAATCTGCTGTTGATAAAAATTATCACTCTTAGCATTTCTACCAAAGTTTAAAGTGGGAAAATTGTTCCACAAATATATTGTGTGTATTATTGATTTACCTGCTTCTACAGCTGGAAGAATTTTTGCCATTTTTTTCACAAAAACTAATTAGGCGAAATACCTGGGTAAAATTAAGGTGTGTTACAGCAATTTGCAGAGAAGTTTCTGCTATTTCCTTCCTTTTAATCTTGGATGTTATTCCATTCATAATTCTTGGAGGCCTCACAGCATGAAATCCTGCAGAAGATAAATAAAAGTCAGCCTAAATCTTTTTCCCTAGCAACCATGCTTATATAGACTCCCCTTCAATTTTTTTCAAATCAAAATACCCTTTTATTTTTCATACACCATTTTTCCTAATTCCACCTACTTTTAATGAAATGCTAAATTTACACCCCCCTCTATTTTTGTCTCCTTCACTCTTCCTTGTTGTTTCCTTTCTTTTATTTTTTTTTATATTTCTTCCATTTCCTTTTAAACCATTCTCTTCTTTCATCTTCTCTCTAACATCCTCTTCCTCCTTTTCATCTCTCTGTTTCCTTAATAGTATTTCACTCTTTCCCTACCCTTTTTTTTTACCTCTAAACCAGTGGTCCCCAAACAGTGTTGCACAGCTGATGGGTGTGGCAGAAGAGAATAGCAGGTGAGGTGGAATGATTGAAAGACAATCAAAGATTTAGAAACAGTTTTAAAAAATTCCTATGCCAAAAATAAATAGGATTTCAAAATTTAAAATATTATTATGGGTTACTTGTAATTATATGCATGAGTCCCAGTATAAGTAGTTATAAATAATTATTGACCGATTTTATCATTGTGATATTTTTGCTTTATATCAAGTATTAAGAATATAGTAACTAAGATTTTCAAATTGGAGGAGAGAGTTACCAATGATTTTGACTTTAAATCCACAGTTATCTCACTTTAAGCCTCACTTTTTCTTTTTTTTTCTTTTTTTTCTTTTTTTTTAAATGTATTTTTTATCACATAAAATTTGGTGAGGCACAAGCAAATTTTAATTCCAAAAATCCAACCCAGAGAAAAAATATGTTTGGGAACCACTGCTCTAAACCATTACTCTTTTTTTTCTTTTCTTTTCTCCTTTTTCTCTATCACCCTGTTTTCTTTATTATTATTTACACGACTTTTCTTATTTCTTTGCCTATTTATCCCTTTTTTTCTTTTTTTTCTTTTCTTACTTGTCTTCTTTCCCACTTCTTTCTATTTTCCTCTTTTCTTTCTTCTTTTCTCCTCTATTAACTTCTTTCTTCCTTACATCCTCTTCCCATTCATCCTATCCTCTTATTCCCTTTCTATTTCTCTCTTTCTATGTTTCCCTCTTTATTTCCTTCTCTGAACAGCCAATTAATAAACTACCAACTAATTACTCATCACTTGATCTCTACTTCCGGTCTTAAAAGGGTATATTGGGCAAGACACCATTTGGTAATTTTTCAAAATTACCCATTGATTAATTGCTTGTGGCAATTAACTCTGCAAATTCAAAATCCCATGTCCCCAACACCACTCCAATACATACTGTTACTATCTAGATTTACCTTTCAAAGGGAAATGACAAGGAGAGGTATATTCCAGTTCCTTTTCAATTAAACAATTAAGAAACTTTAATTTTCATTAAGAAACCTGAACCCTGCTCGTTTGTTACACACTACCCAAGATAATTTGGTCAATTAATGATTTTATAATTCAAATTTATTGTCAGGATCCTTTCACAATCCATATGAATTTTTTTTTTTTAAATCTATATATGGCAAAGACTATATAGAAAAATAGTGTTTTATAGCTAAAAACTTACTCTATCCAATGCTGTTAATGGACTCTGAATCTGTTGTAGTTTCTGTGAAAGTGACTAGAAGAATTTTCTTCAAGAGCGTATTTCATATTTTTAATGCTATTGTCCACTATATACAAATCCCAAGAGCCACTCAAGGTAGAGGTTTAATGTATGAGATTGTAAAATGAGGAAGAGGGTACTGAATATTATGATGATATGTAGGATAGATAATGGTTTAAGTGAAGAAGTTAAAATTGTAGTGATTGAGGAAGTCTCTTTGGAGTCTCTTAGAAAGATACTGTCTGTGCAGAACTTCTTTCCTAACAATGGAATATGATTTACCTTTGTATACATAGCATGGCAGGTCATAGCTGCAAAGGTTTAGACTGGTGGAACTAAGGAATGTAGATTGTTAGAACATTTGCCATAGAAATTGCGATGCAGTCGTCTGGTCATCTAGAGTTTTACAGACACACCCACATACCATTGTATCATCTGCATAGATATTCTTAAATGATTGATGAAAACTCATTTATTTAATATATTTTTTGTTTATACGTTTTTTTTATAGATAAAATTTATTTAAGTAAATGCTCTGTTCTTTAATTAAGCAGTATTAATCACATTTATCAGCCTGAATGTTTGAAAAATTTTGTGGAAAATATGCCTACAAACTGATATAGACTATCAATAACAGCGAGACACAGACTCCGTTGGGGTTATCTCAAGCTCACACCTTTTTATTTACTATCTATAGCTCACATATATATTAAATATTTATACTGTCAGTGGGGCCTAGAATATGCCAACTGCAACCTATGTACAGGGATAAAACTCCCCCCAAAACACACCACCTACCAACCAAATGCTTGCAGAGACAAATAAAAATGACTAATATTTACCTATTCCCAAACTAAATAAATCTTCATATACTCATTATAATAGTAATATTATCCGTTTCCCTACAAGGAAACATTTGTTATTCACTGATGAGGTAGCTATTACTTCTTTCAGTTGAAATTTATAAAATATTTCTTCTTCACATACACTATTTTATAAAATATTGACTCAAATATAAACCAAACATTTAATAATAATAGTTATCCAAAAATCATGTTGTTGATGAGAAAATATAATTAGTTTAAAGGTTTTTAGGGAAAATAAAACAATACAACAATCCTGGTATAAACAAAACTAAAAAAAAGGCATCATTAATTTCTTCTGTTTTAATCAGTAGCATCTTTAAGATGAAAATGCCATTAGAATACCATAATTCCCCATGTATAATACGCCCTCATTCATAATATGCCCCCTAAAACTGTGCTGAAAGTGTGGGAAAATGCTTCTACTCAAGCATAATATGCACCACTTGTTTGGTAAACAAACCCCATAAATTGTATGTCTCCAATTTCATTACAACCAATGTTTCCTACTCTTATTGAAAAAAAGTAGTTTTAAACATAGAATAATATTATTCTAATTTAGTTTTATGATAGTTCTTATTTTATTTGTTTTTAAATTTGTAAGTATTGTTAGGTACATATGATTGTATTTGACATACCTATGGGGTCACACTCACTGAGTGTTAGTGTCAAATTGTCATACGTTTGTTGTGAATAGTGATTTTGCAACATGATTTATTAAGGATTTTTTGTAGCTGTGCATAATGCACACCCCTGATTTTGTTTATTATTTTTTTTAGAAAAAAAATGCATATTATACATGGGGAATTATGGTAATTCATGAATATATATCAATTGATATGTGTGCTTGAATTGGGTGGTTCTTATTCATGCTAGCCAATGGCCTTCACGATTTCAGCTTTCAATATAACCTTCATATTGTGAAGTTGCTGGTTGGTTTCCTTCTTGAAGATGCTCAGAAACATAGATAAGAGACAAAATGATGATTCTCAGCCAAATACTCTTGGGTCATCTGAGCTATATGGGAGGAAGCATTCCATTCAGAGTTTGACCACTGTATCCAGCACCACATTATGGGCCCTTCTAGTCTTGGTACAATGAGCTATCGATTCTTGTCATCTTGGTGCAATGAACTCTTTTTGTTTGGGTACATTGAGCACTCAATTCTCTTGTAGTCTTGCTAAAATGAACAATGGACACTTGTAATCTTGTTATGTTGCTTTCCTAGATTTGTGTCTCTTTTTCAAAATGTTCCAGCAGAAATAAGTCAGAATATCTAGTCATAACTGTGTGATTCATATCAGTCCACTATGAAACATGTCAGGTTTTTGGTTATAGTATCAGGTGCAAAGGTCATCAAAAGCTTTTGGAGTGCAGAGGTAATCTCAGTACAGGACAAAATATGTTAATTCTCTAGGAAAGACTATGTTTACTGACATTTGTTTTCACAAATAGCAGTCCTCCTTTTCATGAAATGATGGTGACTTGTGCCTTAGAACAAAAACCGATTTGACAATGACAGGTCCAAAAACATATCAAATAACTGCCAATTGGTAACATGCAAACCTGTTTATTATTTTTCCAGACTGACACATTCCAAATGTTGACACTTGTTTTCCATTTCTGGAGGGTGATTTGTGTGTTGCTGTCACTTTGATTATTTCCTTTTGTTTGTAGTATAGTTCTGTAGCAAATCTAAAAAAAAAAAAAAAAAAAAAAATGAGATCAATTCTCTGAAAAACTCTTTGAATAATAAGGATTCCTCTCAGAATTACAGAAAGTTTGTATTTGGTGACATAAGTTCAAACCCCTACCCTGACAATGATTTTGATAAAAAAAGAATCTGGTTTTAAACTGTCTGGTAAACTAAAGTTCACCTAGATATTGTAGGCTATTAATATATGCGTACCAAGCTTATATTATACAGCTGTCTCAAAAATGTATACACACGATTACATTGTATAGCTCAAGTTAACTTGCTTTCTTTTCAGATTTGTACGTTAGTATTATTAATGTCACAAAGTGCAAAAATGCAGTTGGAGTTGAAAGGACAGTATTGAAGAAAGTTTCATTCAGATCCACCCACACAACTTACAATCACATGAATTAGAAATAAATTTGAAGCTGATAATACTGTACACAATGTGCACAAGAAATGTTCTGGAAAACCAGAGACATATACAAGCCCTGTGAAACAAAAAAGGTTCATGGAAAGTTTGCACAGAAGTCAAAGAAACTTATTGAAATGTTGTTTGCTGCTTGTGATTCAACTGTTTCGTGTTGGCAGTAATGTCTGGATTATAATGGACATCAATTTGAAAACATACAATGACAAAATATTAAGAGCATGCATTTATAATAAATATTGTCTTAAATATGCATTATTTAAATTATATATAGTTGGTTCTAGTTGCTTGAATTGTTTCTTGAGAAGGCTTCAAAATGTGTTAAACATTTTTGAGAAACCTGTTATAATACTGTAACAAATTATTATTATGGAGTGGTTTATGTATCATTAAATATACTGTCTTTAAAAGAAGAATGAGATACATAGTCTGATAACACAAAACAGAATAAAATTACAGAAACTATTTTGAACAAAAATAGATGAGATCAAAACTCAAAACAGATATTAAAATGAAAATGCATCACAGAATGACAAATGTGTTTTTTTGTTTTTTGTTTGGGTTTTTTTGGGGTTTTTTTGTCAATAAAATCAATTAATTATTCTGAACAATGCGTTGAAAACTGAATCTTTTCTGTATGACTGTGTCGTTATCTCTTCAATTTAAACAAGGACATCAACATCTTCTCTTCTTTGTCTTCTCATCTACTTCTAATATCTAAATAAGAAATAATGACTGTCAAATAAGGCAGTCAAGTGAAAACCATTTGATCACAAATTCATTAAGATTAATGGGGATTAAAATAATTATTAAATATTTATACCTATCTGGTTCTTCTTATGCCTCTTGATTTAACACATTTCCAAGATGTGTGCATATATATATATATATATATATATATGATTTTCTTTAATTATATTAAGATATTTTTGTTTAATATTTTGTTAAGTTTTATTTAATATTTAAAGTTTTGCTTACTATATTTAAGCAGTTTATGTGACATCAATTGTAAGAATTTTAAAACAAATGTCAAAACTTAATTTCATAATTATTATTTTGAAGCAGTGTTTTACTATAGGAATGCATTGCAAATGAAGAAAAAAGGGATTGTCAGTGGTCAGGAATTAATACAAGCATTACTAAAAGAATAAGGCTATTTATATATATAATTATTATTTTGTAGCAGTGTTTTGCTATAGGAATGCATTGCAAATGAGGAAAAAAGGGATTGTCAATGGTCAGGAATGAATGCAAACATTACAAAAAGAATAATTGGTTATTGGTCAGAATTTACCATTGCTAAAAGCAAGATTAAAAGAATGAAAATGAATTGCAATTTACAAGTGAGTTGCATCAGAAATGACAAGGAAGATTTTTAATGATTGACAGAATTTGGTTATCATATTTATAATCTCCTTCACTATTTTATTACTTGAACTTAGAATGTTTAATTTTACTTATGTCAATTTCTTCCCAGCCTTATGCTACTATTTGATTTCATTTTCAATTCTTA